CCCTATAGCCACTCATCACGCTATTTCTCCCAATAAACGGTTCATTTCAAAATCCCTCACTATAAATACCCCTTCCCCCCAAAACGTAACCCTTTACAATATCCTTCTTCTCCGACGAACTTGCAAATTTCGAGCTTCACTAAAAAACCTGCAACTATGTCTTCATCTTCAGCCTCCGCTCAATCTGTTAATGTCTCAAGCGACAACGAGGTAACCCAATCCCAAGCCCTAACTTCTCACGCTCTATCATTTTTTCAAAATCGATACGAGAAAGTAGTTCTAGTCAAGAAACCCAACAATTATTACTTCACTCCATCTCATTCAGGTTTCCCTGAATTTACTTATCCCCTCCTTGAAATTCTTCGTAACCATCCATTATATTATGCTCTYTCAGCCACCAAACCTACACCTGAAACATATATTACCCAATTCTTACTAAGCTCAAATATCACTACCTTGGACAACTCTGGATTAAGCATTGTTGGTTATGCTTCTCACCCAATCAACAAATCCTTTGTACCTATGTAACTAAACGTTAATACCCTGCGAACAGCCCTCCGCCTACCCTCCTTGGCAACTCTTAATTTGGATACCTTTGCCCCATCACCAACAGGCGCTGAATTGATCCAATTTCTTGAATTTCACTCCTACACTGCCAAGACAAAAATTGCTAAAAGGACTGAATTCAAATGAAAAGGCCTTCCCCCAATTTGGAATACTCTGTTTTCCATAAACAATTGTTGCCTAACAGGGAAGGTCGGAAGCCATGACCAAGCGTCTCACGCAATGCTTTCCATTGTATATGGAATCTATTTCGACCTGCCCCTTGACTACGCACAGCTTATCTTCGAAGATATGGTGGGTTTAATCAAGAAGAAGTGCCCTACACAAAGGAGTGAGAAGTCAAAAGTGAAGGCGCAAAAGAAGGCCAAAGAGGACCTCAATCATCCAAACCTTATCCTACAGAGGTTCTTTGGTCTGGTCTTTGGTGAAATGATTGCAGAGAAGCTGCCCTCTGCCGAGCCTAATGCCAGATTGTATCCAATGAAGGAGTTCCACCCCACAGAGCATGAGCTAGGGTACAGAAGCCCAAGACCTTTATCAAAATCCAGGCTCAAATACCTTAGGCACGAAGATAGGAAAGAATACAGACGTGGATACAGGAGGCCAGAGCCGGTCCCTGAAACCCCTCCACGCATAGGTATCCCCTTAGGTGAGAAAGTGCAAAAAATGAGAGTAGAGGGAAGAAGGGAGGAGCCAGCATAGGCTAGAGAGGTGAGTGAGGACAGACCGAGAGTAGCAAGTCCCCCACCAAAGAAGACTAAGAAGACTCAGAAGGGATTTGACTCTTCTGAGAAGAAGAAAGGGAAGAAGAGACCCGCAGAAGAAGAGGGACCAAGCAGTCCTCTGCAAAAGCCAAAGAAGAAGAAATCGAAGAAGGCCCAACCGGTGGTCACAGAGGCTGTAATCCCAGAAAGCCCTGCAGAGGCTGCTCCAAAGCGCAGAAGGTTGCGTAAGGTGGTTCACGAAGAGTCTCCAAGAGAGCAGATACATGAAGTAATCTTCCAAATTCAACAAGAGTTTAAAGCGCCTACAGAAGTAGCTGATTTGGGGACAGAGGTCGTATTAGAAGACGAAGAAGAAGAGTTGGAGATAGAAGAGGGAGTAAAAGATGCCAAAGGCCCACATCCTAGCCCCCCTCCTAGTGCTACCCACGTTTCTAGGGACCCTGTTCTAGAGGGAGCCCCTATTGAACAAGGCGTGCACACACTGAACCTAACCCAAACCAACCTCGCAGAGGAAATTCTTTCGTCCTCTGTCAAATGCACAGCCAAGGAACCACAATATACTCCAATATCCTTTCAAAAGGATGCTGGTTTTAAAATAAGAGTCCATTCGCCCAAGGACTTGTCACAACCCAGAGAGGCATCCGTTGCCCCTCCACACTTGAGTGAACAACCAAGTCATGCTTCAGAGGCATGCGAGAGGTTCGCAGAGGCTGCCGGTCTAGAACGCCCAAAGTCTCCACTCGATCCCTCTGTCGAGTTAGGCTCTGAACCTACTAGGCACGATATCGACAGTACACTGGTCGGCTCTCCAATTGGAGATGTTCGAGGATCCGGTGGAAGTCCTCGAGCTCACATCGCAAAACCAATCGCTGAGGGCGCCTCACAGTCCAAGGCTACTAGGTTACCATGTGTTGGTGATCTAGGTTCCCAGGATACCTATGTGACGAAGGGGGAGTTACAAACCTTCGCCCCAACGGTATTCCAGAGGTTGGACGAGTTGAAAAGCTTGTTCACCTCTCAACCATCGACAGAGGTGTTTGCACCAATAACAGAGGCGTTTGCACCAATAACAGAGGCTCTTAAGGAGTTGACATCCACAACTTCAGAACTCAAGGCGACTCTTTCAGCCCTTTAGAGCTCTGTCCTTCATAAAGACGACCTCACATAAGCTTTCAGCGCTCTGTCTCTCAACCCTTCCTCAATCCAAAAGCTGAAGACAGAGTTATAAGAGGTAGTCGCCCAGTTTGCTGCTGATTTCATCTCTGCCGGCTACACAGACTATTCTGCCTTCAAGGATGAGATCAAGCAGATGTTCTCCTCTGCAGTCACCTATGGCGTTGATACCAAATCCTCCGAGGCAAACATCAACCATCTAGCCACTCATAGAGAGCTAGACGCAATGGTTGAAGCCCTAGGAGAGATCGTGCGCAAATATACAGACCAACTCCTCAAAGAAGCCCGAGCTTCCAACCAATCAATAAGAGACTGCACTTCAAAGCTCATCAAAGAGGGTGACACCTTCAGAAATGAAATCTATCGCAACATCTCTGTAACATCCTCATTTTCATTCAAGAGAAATGTTACGTAATCTGAATCCTTTTCTTTCATAAATGCACCCAAAAAGATGGCTAATTTAAAACCATCTAAACTATTACAGCGGAAGTCTTTGAAATTATCAAGCTTAACTCAAGTTCTAACCCACTTACTTTTGGGGTTGAGTTACAAAAGATCATTACAGTGCATTTTAGACAAAAAACTAAAACAAGATGACAATAGGCAACTCTCTATGCCTGTCCCTTGCCTGGCATTGATCATCCCTACGCAACCCCTCTTCTTATTGCATACTATTTGTGCATGATTGGTGGACAGCCAATCCATCCCCAAGACTACATCAAAACCTTCTAGGCTCATTGGCATAAGCTTAACAGGGAAATCCTTCCCATCTATAACGATCGTGCTTTCATCAAATACTTCATCTACCTTACACTGACTACCGTTGGCTGTCTCTACAGTGTAGGTTTTGTCTAGCCTACAGGCACTCTTATCCAGATAGTGGCAGAAAGCAGTAGACACAAAACTACCATTCGCACCCGAATCAAATAACACATGTGCATACACATTGTTGATAGGGAACATACCAGATACGACGTCCGGTGTTTCCTTGGCCTCCTCCAAAGTCATGTTGTAAGCTCGGCCGTGTCCCTTAGGTAGCTCCTTCCTACCTTCCGGTCTTCTTCCAAATCCGTTATTCCCCGTCTTCCCGTGGGGTGTCGCACTATTGCGACGTTTTGGACAGTCAGGACGCAAATGTCCTGTAGCTCCACATTCATAACATGTCCTTCCTTTCGGGCATTCTCATGCGGTATGCCCCGGTTTGTCACACTGGTAGAACGTCAGGCTCCCCGCTCTATACTCTTCCTTGTGCCTCTTGTTGCATTTGCTACATGGAGGAATGGTGAGTTCCTTGCTTCGGGTTTTTGCCAGAGTCGGAATCCATTTGGATTTCTTGTGGAACTTGCTCGATCCTTCCCATCTTCTCTTCGCCTCTCTTCTATCACTACCTTCTCTAGCGTTGTTCTCTTCCGCCACCTTTGCCATCTCCACTACTTGTACAAACGTGGTTGTTTTAGTCATGTCTACATACCGCTTGATCTTGATTTTTAAGCCATCCTTGAAACGGCCTATCTTTCTCTCCTCGGTGGCTACCTGATATTTGGTGAGCCTTGCCTTTTCAAGAAACTCGTTGACATATTCTTGTACTGACAACGATCCTTACTTCAACCTCAGAAATTTGGATTCTAGCTTGTTCACCTCTGTTTGCGAGCAATACTTATCCATCATCATCTTCTTCATTTGCTCCCATGCCATGGCAGCAATCTCCTCATCACCTCTGACTGCGCACTCAGTCTCCCACCAGTGCAGTGCATAGTCCACAAAGGTCGTAGCAGCATAAGTTACCTTTTGTTCTTCCGTGCACCTACAAATTTTGAAACAGCTTTGCATCTTGGCTATCCAGTTCATCAGGCCAACTGGGCCTTCTATCCCTTTAAACTCCTTTGGCCCGGTGCCCTTGAATGTTTTGAAGCTGTATCCTCTCTCTTTTGCTGCCAACTCGGTGATCCCCATGATGGGCGATTCTACCTTCTCCTTGTCACATACTTCCATATTTCCGGTGGCTTGAGTGTTCTCATGTTGAACACTTTCTTCCCTTCCTTCTTCATTATCCTTAAATCGGTCGCCTTACATTTCCTTAAGCATATTTGGCAATGTGTCCCGGAGGACTTGTGCCATCTGCTCCTTCATTGTTTCCTTCGTGAGAGGAAATTCTTCCCCTTGATCCCCTTGGCTCCTACCGATAGCCAAAGTAGCTGGCGCGGATGGGGCCATACTCGAATTAGCGGCTCGGGCACTTCCGCGACCTCGACTCTGGGCCCGTGTCCGTCCCCGAACTGCTGGTGGGGCTAAGCCATTAATGCCTCCCTCATTGAGAGCGTTCCTTGTTGATCCACGAGAAACCATACTGATAATATAGGGTACTATTGCTTTAGTAAGGTTCTAAAGTCAACATAATTCATTCCATTCATATATAAATAATCACTATGTATAGGCGAAATGCATAATAAGAAATTTGCGTCGAAAATTTCGTAATGCTCAAAAGATATATTTATATTCCATGTCAATAAAATCCCGAGGAGAGAGATATTACAAATCCCATTTACCTACAGAAGATGGGATTCACGAAATCCTGACATATCACTTTAATCATGTGATTGATCAAAAAGAAATCTATTGATAGCTTGGTCAGCTATCTAGACCTTCACTATTACATTCTATACTCAAAAGATTTCTCTCCCACTCCTTCCAAAAGACTCTAAGTCTAGAACTGATCGGCTGGGTAATAAGGGAGATAAGGGTCCCTCAACCACTGCTCATAGGATGTAGATGGTAGGGAACACCACAGCACACTAGCCCTTGGGCCATTTCTGATGCATTGAACCCAGTTGGAGAGATAGTCCTTTACTATGTCCGCATAATCTATGGTCACTCTTTTATAGAAGCGAACCCTGTCCTTGATTCTGGTGCCTACGGGGTGAGTAGCAATCCTCCGTTCTTGTTCAAGTACAACCTTATCCCAAATCAGGGCATGACACTGGTCCGACAAATCTGTATTTTCTTCAGTCAACTCGATTAGGGCTCCTCCTTGTTCGACATGTGCCCGCTGAAGATTGTTCAGCCACTCATTTAGTCTAGTGTTGTCATCTACGGTTCGGGCCAACCTCTCCCTTAGCCTTGTGTTTTCGCCCTCCAGGGCCTCTATAGTTTCCATCATGTCCTCACGCGTCGGGGTGCGGGGCGTGTAGTCCATCGATGGTTCGGATGTGGTCTTCCTCCCGCTGGGCTCTTGTGACGACACCTCACAGGCGTCGGCCAGACTATCACTTCTGGACCGGGAGCAGGAAACATGACTGGTGCTGGGGCGGCGATTATCAACGGGTCCCCTATTTGGTCCTAGCCCGTGTGGTGTCCTACGTGCTCCGTAACCACGCCCGCGACCGCGTCTGATAGATCTGGTGTGGATGGTGTGCACCATTTTCCTACAATTTAAAAAAAGAATCACTAAGTCGAGTAGTGATGTAGGATCAAGCTTAATCGCATGCTAAGCAACGCTACTACATAATGAACATGTGCTTCTAATAATCTTCTCAGTTTAAGCTCAGGCTAAGTAAATCTTAACCTCTTTACCTTAAACTAAGGCTCTAACAATCTTCTCAGTTTAAGCTTAAGCTAA